ACCACCCCCCCAACAACAAAAACAACACCAGCAACAGCAGCGGCAGCACCCCATGGGCTGCGGTGCGTGCGGCTGCCACAACAACTGCGGAAGGCGAGGCAGCGGGGGCGGAAGCGGCATCAACAGCAGCGTTAGCGGCGCCAACACGGCCCAGGCCCCTTTAATCTTCCCAACCCACCAGATGGCGGCGACGGCGCGGCAGGTCTTCAGCGTTCCTCCACCTCTCTTCCAGCTGACAAACCTGTGCAGCAACAGCTACCTCACCCAGGCCCAGCCTCCGCACCAGGCGAACGCAGCCTCCACCCTGCCTCCGTTCTTCACTGCCCCTCCGCCTCCCGCACACCCGGCTCCCTACGGCCCCATCCACACCCACACCCACTCTCACAGCCACACAGACATGCTGAGCACCCAGGCCGCCGTGGTGGCGGTGGCGAACTTCAACCTCCAGCAGCAGATGGCGCCGGCGGCTTCGTTCTGCCAGCGCGTCTACCAGCACATGTACCCAAATCCCCTGGCTATGCTGTCTGCTGCAGCGCTCGGTGGAGGGGGAATCAACAAGAAGAACGGCAATGTCTCCTGTTATAACTGCGGCGTCAGCGGCCACTACGCTCAGGACTGCAACCAGCCGTCCATAGACTCCACGCAACAAGGTAAACAGTGAGTTTTTTTTTAGTTTTTTTATCGCACACATGCACAAGCCTAACGCCGGCTAAGAAAGATGGTTTTTTAGTCCAAAATAATTTGAAAGTGTACCATTCAGCTTCTTGATCTTTTGATGCTGCAATTTTTTTTTGTGGGAAATTTTTTTTAATTGTGGGAAATTGTCCATGCACTATTACCTACCCCATGAGAAGCGAAAAGTTAGCCGCTGTACATTTTACACGTACGAATTTAGCAGACGCTTTTATCCATAGCAACTTACGAGGTCCTTCTGCGAATCAAACTCTCAGCTCGTCGCTTAAAAGGCAGGCTAACCGCTACGCTAGGAACCGCAGGTATGTTACAAGGTGACTGGCGCAGTGGGATCGTCAACACTCACGCTAAAAAGAACTCTCTTCAAATGCCAATCCTGCTGTCATCAGATTTATGGCCGGATGTCGGAAAACTCCAGACATTGCAGCGCCACCTGTGCGCGCAAATGTACGTGTGTTTGTGAGTGCGAGCTTGCTAGCGGGCTAGAGCGAGACTAAGTACAGCTAGCTGAGATTAGAGATTGCGAATTACTATTGGGTTTTTTTTTTATCAAAAAAAAACAAGACTGGGGGGGGCGCCAGTCTGCAATTAATCGAAAACACTTGTTGAATCAGTTCTCATATTTTTATCGTAAAAATTCCTAACGTGACCGACAACCAGCAACAGTGGTTGTTATGCATCGACTGTTCTCAGTTTGTTTTGGGTTTTTTTTTTTTTGCCTGAATTTCAAAGCAGCCGTATATATGAACTGTTCTTTCGGTCACATGGTCACATGCTCTGATTGTATTGTAAATCCTATCAACGTGTACGTGTGTGTTCTCCCGTTGCTGCAGGTGTGTTCCGGTTAAAGTATGCAGCCTCGCACATTTCAGAAGCCTATGACAACACTGACTGAAGAGGAGGAGCTGACGCAGTGTTCCACTGTGACAACCCCCTCTCTCTCTCTCTCTCTCTCTCTCTCTCTCTCTCTCTCTCTGTGAGGACGACACTTAAGCATCGACAGACTTTCAGGATTTAAAAAATAAATAAATAAATAAAAAATACAATCTTAACCTGCCAAGGGCTCAGTGGACGAAGCCTACGTAGTTGTGCCTGAGAAAAATCGTACGTCAGTGACGCCATGACGTCGGTCCACGCAACTCCTGTTCCCTTCTGGTTTTTACATATTTTTTTGCACTGAGGATTAGAAAGACTTAACTTATTTGTTAATTATTAGGCAGTTGACAGAGTTACGGGGGTAAAACTTTAGTTTTTATTTTGTTTTAAAAAAATAAGGGTTTGAAAACTGGGGAAAAAAATGTTGTTTTTACCCTTAGTTCTAAAAAGGTGTATTTATGATTTTTTTTTTCCTTTTTCCTTATACATGTTTTGACCCAGGATTTTACTGTCTGACAGAAGTTTATAGTCATTTTCAAAGATTAAAGCAAAACTGAAAAAGTTGTTGTAAAAACAAACAAAAAAAAAAAAACCAACAAAAAAAATGTGTTCTGAATGTACACCTTCTTTCTTTATGAGGAATCTTTGAGCGTCAACTTGTATGGATTTTTGCCACTTGACATGTTCGATCGAAGCTCCCTGCTGCTTATTGTTGTTTTTATGTTGTCATTGTTTCCTTGGTGAAGTGCACTACAGTGATGCAGGAATGTCGGCGCACTAAGACGGTCCCTAACTGTTGGATTAGAAATTAGTATTACAGGAGTGACATAGCCCGCTATGGCTAACAGCTGTACCAAGTTGCCAATTTGTTATTATTATGTGTTCTAATATAGAAAAAAATATATATATACAGATTGACCACTACTCTAGAGGCCTTAACTTTAATATTTCTACACACTTTAACATGTGAAATTAGGCTTTAATGTATCTGTTCATTCCATAACCAAACATGTTTGTACATCTTTTAAGAGGCTGTTCAAATTACAGACAGCGCTGAGACCCGATACTTGGGATCGGTATTGGTCAGAATTTCAGGATCGAACAAAGTATAGCCCATTCGAGCCGATACCTAAGCCCAAATGCTCAACTTAACATTACGCGACATGCCTTAAAACAGGAACACTGTCGGCTCAGCAACGGCAACCTGCGGCATGCTGTAGGAGAGAAGAAGGTATCGTATTGATATCAGTATCAGCAGATACTCCAAACTGCGGTATCAGACTTTAAAAAGTAGAACTGGCATGTAATGCACGAGCAGTGATTCCCAACCACTGTGCCATCATGTGCCATGGAATCTAACCAAGGCTGTTGAAGAAGATCTTTTGTCTTTCTTCAATTACCTGTGAGTCTATCGGCATCGTGTTCAACAAAACAGGCTCTGGTTTAAAGCAGAGCAAATTGTGGGTAAATTTAGACGATACGGTCATTATATTTCATAACACGTACTTTTTGTGAAATTATAGTTTGCCGGTGTGCCGTGTAGTTTTTTTTTTCTAATGTAAAATATCTGCCGTGGCTCTGAAAAGCAAGAGTGTGCAAGAGAACGGTTTTAAGTCAGCAGACCCTGAACATATTTAAAATTGCAAATTACTTTGCTTTTCCACTTTTTACTAACCAAAAAAAAAACCCAACAGAATTCTCATCCTTTTTTGCATCAGTCACATTTGAGCACTAGATACTGTAAAAAAAATTTAAAAAAAAAAAGTTTTATACTACATTTTATTCCCACAAAATAAAAAAACAAAAAACTGTGGTTTATGGTATTGCAATAGCTTAAATATACTTTAAAAAGAAGCAAACCTAAAGAAAAGTAATTAGAAAAAAGGTCATGAATCAGAAAAGACCTTATCTGAATTTTTATTTTTAACTTTTCTGATTGAAACTAACATGTAGCTAATTACTGTGTGCAGCTGCCGTACGGTGACTACTGTGGCTTAAAAGGAGACCAAAAAAACGCCTTGGTGTATGGTTTTGGTGAGGAAAAGCATTTACACTTTTAGAAGAAATATTTTTTTTTACTACATTTTCTTTGGAAATTCTATAAATATTTGAGTAGCCGTTGGCTTCGTGGGAGGCACTTTTGGTCGACGGGGCGACCTGCTCTGTTTGCGTAGATTTAGATTTGCCTCCACTTTATCACAAGTACAAGATAAAATAGTTTTCGGTAGCTGTAAAAAAAAAAAAACACAGTTTTCAAACCAACCATTCAGCCTGACGTTCTTTGGTCCATGAAAATGAAATTTTTGACAGAGGCTGCTGGCCTTATAAAATTTGAGCACGGACCACAAGTGGTCTCTGTGCCATATTTTGGACATACCAGATGTAAAGGGAGGTGTATGTGGTTACATAATTATGGAACTTTAAACCTTTAAATTTAATAAAATTTCAATTTCGCATTAATAATTGACAATAAATGGCTACATTAGAACAGCCAATGGCCACGGAGCAGCTGTCTGTCCTCTAAGGTGGAGAGCATACATGTCCAAAACTCATGACCAACCTGGGATCCACACTGGAAACCCCGGGATTCTAGACTCGACTCAGAGCAGTTGGAACTGACTAGAACACTACTGTCCATAGTGGTAAAAAGTACTAAAAATATATAATAATAAAATAGAACTTACCTTCTGTCTACTGAAAGTTAGAAAAAGAATTAGGGCTAATATCAAGAGCCTGATGGTAGGTCATTGTGTCAGGTTAAAAAGAACTTGCTTAACAAATATCTAGTTGTGTTACACAACAATATTAAAGAGTGAATATTTTCTGCAATTTATTCACGTTTTTTTATTTTTCTTATTAATTTCTCACAAAGTCAAAAGTCAACTTTATTGTCATATGGACATTTTGTGCACCGGTCGTGCAGTAAAAAAAAATGAAGTATTTATTTTATAGCCGTTAGTCATGAGTACTTCAGGGATCCGAGTGAAAAAGTGCACCGTCATGTAGCTCACAGAACAGGCACTGAACAGCAGGGGTCGCAAACTAAATTTAACACCTTCATGGCCGGACACTCGAATACAAAAAAAAAAAAAAATTAAATCACATTTTCTGATGGTTCGGCAGGCCACCGGTTGATCACTGCTGTACAGTTTCCAAACATTGCCTTGTTTGCAGCAGGGTGTGTGTGTGAGAGCGCT